GGACCTACAGGGACAGCCACATGCTGCAGTATATCACGGTACATATAGATAACGGTCGTATGCAGTGGCTAATGGAGAATGCATATGAGTACATACATACAGAGAGTGCTGAATAGTACGACACAATACATCAGCAGTGTTTTCACTAGAGATTTTGAAAGGTGCTTAATCCTTGTCATATGTGTGCATGTATACATATGACAAGGATGAATACGATTTCACACGGCAAAACACACACATCTGCAGAAGAACACATCGGCCATGCACTTCAGCTACCCATTTGCACTGAAACTGTACTCAATAAAAAGTAAAAATTTACCAAAGTTTTGTATTTGGCATTCATTACAAGTAGCACATTCCTGCACGTAGTGGTTAAACACGATACTGGATGTGGCAGTTTCAACAGTGACGGCCAAAACTAGAAATTGTCACTAAACCATATATACCTGCCAATCGAAGGGTTTGTTTGCCAGCTTGGAGCGTGCGCCGGCTCTCCTGCGAGCCCTGTATGCCCTCGCATCAGCACTTCCCCCTGTCACCCCTCCCACACCACCTCCTCCTCCTTCCTCCCCTCCCTCCCCTCCCTCTCCACCCTCACCACCTCCACCTATACGCACAGAGACAATATCACACACACACAACACATAGCTTAGACCACTCCTTTATTGCATTGGCTGGTGTGTGCTATTCACTGTACTGAAGGTATATACTACAATTCCATCAATTAGAGTACCGGATATATATTATACTCTAAAAGTGTTACCTGAAAAAGATATACACACCACGTATAAGAATTTTGAAAGCATCTATATAAGGACACACTACAATGGAAAGGGTTTCTCGTCACCTTCTTCGTCTCCCACTCCACCTCCAACTGCGATGGGGGCAGCATCATCCTCGTCAAAGCATCCCCTCCCCCTCCTCCTCCTCCCCCTCCTCCGCCACCATCCCCTCCCCCGCTTCCCTCGGGTGCCTTGTACGTAAGTTCCAGACTGATCTTGGACTGGATGTATACAGAGTACATACATAGCAGCCACGCATTACGTCGATACACAAATCACTCTTTGATGCAACTGTACGATACATGATAGGCGACCTAATACCATACCGGGAATTAGACTATAGAAGACACACAAAACCTAATGCCTATTACATACCTGGAATGGATGAGTACTGCACAACCACCACGCACCCTACATCATGTGTATGGATCACAATACAATCTAGGGCTCCTTGGGCCACGCTACATCTGTGGCCCCAAAAACGGCACACAGGGGACAGCCAAACAGACAACCTCACCGTCTGTTTTACAACGCCACACACAAAAGCAGACGTCGCATTATGCAATTTTCGAATGAGTGAAACAATAGCCGACCTAACGTTAACACCATCAACACCGGACTCCATCACACAAGGTCAAAAGGTGGCCACATTGTACGTAGTGAATTCCACTGTCCATCCAACAAAAGGCCCTTGGAAACTACTACCTACTACCACGGCGTCAGTTCCAACTTTCCCAAAAATAGATAGTACCACCCCACTACACACACGAACAGACACACACGAACAGAGATCGATCCACAGAGAACAAACAGACCTGCATGACCTCCCCTTTCTTTGACTTGAGAGCAGAGTTAACATTCTGAGATCCTCTGGACACAACCTCTTGCAGTGAGAGAGAGAGAGTACCCAACAACCTGAGGGTGTTTCAGACGATAATCAGCTTCACTTGGAACGGAGGACGAGCTCTTTACCGGTTGCTTCTCAACTTTTCGTAGTCATACACCTCTATCTCCAGCGACTCTGAACCTGACAGTGCAGCTTGCAGGGTCCACGTCAGAGTCTGAGATACATCAGTAGACATGCAGTTACATAACCCGCGCCAACACACTCTGCGTGTGTGTGTGTGTGTGTGTGTGTGTGTGGGTGTTGAGCATGTGCATGTCTGTAGGTGCCTGTGCTAATAGTGCCGGTGGTGCGGCGGGCGTGGGTCAGTTTACTTCGTTCCACTGGGGGTCCAAGTTGTTGTCAATGACCTTGGTCTTCCTCTTCTCGCCTGCGGGGAACGGGAAGTGAGTGTGGTGAGGTCTGACGCACGGAGGCTTACCCTGCAAGACGATCACGCACATGGGATCGCTCTTGCTGAACTTCTCCACGTTGGGGAGACTGGAGGCGCTCTTGACGAGTACCGACAGCGACATCTTGGCCTCCTGAACACCCTCTCCGGCCGCGGCTGCACAGGGCTGCTCGCGCTTCCGCAAAGCTAGCTAGAGGGGGGATGGCTGCGGTGTATATCACGAGGCTTTTCACGTGACCAACGTCCATTCACGCTAATATCCGCGCATGCGCTAATATCCACGCATGCTCCTCTAAGTTGTATATACGGGTTTCGGAGAATTCCGCTGCAATTGCAGTTCGCGCCGTTCTCCATCCAGTAATGACGCTAATTCGATGAAGGGCCATTGTAAGGCTGCAGGAGCTGCATTTATAACTGAGGCGTATCAGCTTTCCAACGAGCGAGGCGAGTGCTGCACGCAGTAATCGAAGATGAATTTTGCAGCAGTGATTCTAGCAACGTCGATGATAACCCGCCTGACCACTCTAGGAGATGCAACGAAAAAATCCAAAGTGTGCGCAACGAAAAACTGGCCAGCATGTGCGCTGGAGCCGTCCAGGATCCCGACCAACAACTTTAGCGTCCTGGTCACGAGAGTGTGGCCGAGTGAAGAGGACGGAATCATATCCGTATCATGTAAGTCGGACAGCTGTTGCAGCTCTGCATGCAACTTCCATGCGCATCGCAATTTATTCACAAATTCATGCATCAGCATACAGCTGTGATTATTGAAGGAAAACTATGAATGTGATTTCCAGCTCTTTTTGGTTTCTTTTTTTTGCAGTAAACCTTCATAGAAACGAATGTCCAAGGCCAGACATGCAGAATTTGATGTGGTACAGACTGGAAGCCTTCCTTGGAGGCATCAACATGAGTATCGGTAGATTTATTGAGCCCATCGAGAGTCGAAGATTAGAGACCTATGCCTGTCAAGATGATTCAGTAAGTTTCTTGACTATATTATATAACTGGGCACAAAATTATAGCTTCTCTCTCCATGCAAGAAACTGGTATTTGAAACATGTGAGCCTCACCCTCTTGACTTACCGCGGCAATACACCTGGACTACACCAAGACTCAACATTACCACGGATGATATCGTCTGTTTCAGGTATCACAAAGGGGTCATCTTAATACTCAAATAGCATCATAATAAATCAAGGGCCACACCGCCATTATCTCAAGATTTACATTTTTTCACCCCCACATAGTTGTCCTTGGTGTCCACAATCATGCTATCTTTCCCCACACACCCCACACCCTCTTTTACACATCATTCCCTCTTCACTCTCCCCCTCCCTCCCTCCCCCCTCTCCCCACATCTCTCCTTCCTCTCTCCGTGAAGACTGACGGTACTGGAGCCTGACAACAGGACGTGCAGGTTCTCAGAGCACTGTGTCCCACTACTGACCACATTCGAGACGGTGGGCTCTGGCGATACAGAGGAGTCTGACATACCAAGTCGTCTACAGGGGTCGGGCGCTTTTGGGGAGTCTGTCAACCTCACTAAAACGGTGTGCAGAAATTGCCTCTATAAATGCCGAGTCCCTTACTGTGCATGTCTATAGTCTAGACTGTGTGTGTGTCTCTGGTATCACCACTGGCCCACAAGAGCCCACACACTCGCTATAATATTGTGCACAGCACAAAAGGCTAATGAATGAGCTAATATACTTTACCACGGGGATTAGAATGTCAACAATTGCATTTTGTTTGTGGCAGTGCCATCAACGCTGGGACTGCACCGGTGCTAGGATGAGGTTGTTTTGTGGTAGTGATGGCAACACGTACACAAGTCGCTGCCATATACGTCTCACAGAGTGCCTGACAGACACTGACATCAGCATTGATCATGCAGGACAATGTGGTACGTTGAGAGCTAGCTATCTACGCAAACAACATGCAATATGCACACCTGCACTACTAGTAAACAGTCTTCTCTTTCCTCAGTTGATCAGTACAGTCCAGCCTGCCACACTCAAAGAGATATCTTGAAGGCAGCATTTGCAGGGCTCCCAGAGCACTCCTACTGGCTACCTACATGTGACTGTGACGGGCTATTCAAGGCAAAACAGTGTGATAGAGACAGATCGAACCCTGGTCACCTCGAGTGCTGGTGCTCCTACAGCAACTCAATATCAGAAGTGGCACATACCAGACGAAGAATAGTAGATGTGTGCACAGATCCCTCCAAATTGTAAGAACCACTTTACCCGCCGCTGCAAGTGCACATATTATTACTCAGTCTCCTTTCTCTATCCCACAGTGAATTCAGTTGCTCTACCCTATAGCCCTATATTGTTTAGAAGCAAAGATCACAAGGAAATCAGAAGTCTATTCATTAATCTCCTCATACACATTAATTCTGTCTTATCCTCTCCAACAAAAGTCAAATGAGTATTAAACACTGCAACATGACAAATTTGTTGCTTGTATATTTGGCATGTACAGTCTTATCACTTATTTCTTCCAATTTTATGCACAAATAAATATTTTTTTACAACAACATGAAACATTATCACGAGAACAGAAAGTTTAGTTTCTCTGAAGTTGTTTCAGAGTTTTAGGGTTAAGTTTGTGGCCAGAGGAGCCCTCGAAGGGATTCCGTGGAGGAGTGACTGGGAGAGGTAGGAAGCAGGTGTAGGGGATCTGAAGTAGCCTGGTCGGAGATGAGCTGGCAGAGTTGCTGTTGTTGTTGTTGTTGTTTGTGTTCAGTTTGCAGACTTCCGTCCTGGCTGGTGAGGTAGATGGGACGACAGTGATGGATTTCGGAGTGGGGTCAATGCTCCGCGAGCGGGAGTGTACCGTCGCCTTTTTCTTGGGTCGGTCGGCCGTAGATTTAGAACGAGGTCGTCCGATCTTCGGCAGGTCTCCGCCGACTAGTGGTATCTTGATTGGCGGGGGTCTCTCAGAGTCTCCCCTTGCATCAAAGTGAACGGGAGACGGGGAGCAGCTGGAGAAGCTTCCTCTTGACCCGTGCCTCATGCTCAGGAAAGACTTGAGGAAGGCGTTAGAGTTGTTGAGGTTGCAGTTCCAGCTGGGGTCGTCCCCCGCGGGCAGTGGGTGGGTGTTGAGTACGATGGAGCTGCTGGACACTGCTGGCGTCAGAAACGAGGCACTGATTTCATCGCAGTGCGAAGAAGACTTGCGTTTTCGTGTGGCCATCGTTTTGTGGGTCTCGTCGGGGAATGAGCTGGGGAGGTTGTAGACCAAGAACCGGTATATCTTCTCCAGCATGCAGCGATCGGCGATGCTCTGACACACCTCCTCCCTGTGCTTATCCTGCGAGGACAGCCGCAGCTGTGGACCATCACCGTTACCAGGTGGGGAGAAAACGATTAGTCCTTTTCCGACAGTAGAGCTAATGGCTAAGTTTACACAGCCTACTCCTCATCATCTCTAAAAAGCTCAGTGGACGTTAGTGAGAGATTAATTAGCAGACAAACACGCCATAAGGCCTAGTTAATGGTGGCAGACAATTTGCAACAAAAAACACCGATCTAAAGGTGTCATTGCTAAAAAGACATTTCATCAGCCGCTTGATTGAAAAACCGGGAAATCCAATTACCGGCGGGCAACTTCTTGTGGCAGGTGGAAACAGGTGCACTAATGCCTCGCCTGCTGCCAACGTAACCCACAGTACTAAACAAAAGAACTCACGAGGTCGTCGGCTCCGCCCACAACCACTAGTGCATTTGGCACCGAAAGTCTTGTTCGCAGTCTCTGCCAATAGAAAAAGTGACTCAACTTATTCATAATGACTCATTAGGGAGAAGCAACTACATACACCTAGGAACGCAACCAATAGAAACTGTGTATTGCACAGATATCCAAAAGTCTCACATACAGTAGTTCATTTCATTGGTGTATTTTCTGCGAGTGAGGAAAGTAATAATTATCTTACCTCTACATAGCTCACAGAGCTAAGTGTGCCTCTGCTACCAACGATGAATATGGTGGGAGAGTTACACTGAGTGAACAGATCTGATGAGACCTGCACACAGAGAGAGTGGCGCAGGAGAAAGGCCATTGAAGATACAAGCCAATAGCTGAGGTATGCTTTGATGTTTTGCATGTGTGGGTGATTATGTGGATACTGGTTATTAATCTCGGGGAATTACTTGTGTTAAAACAGTCTAATCACGTAGTTACTACAATTACCCGAATGAGAAACAAATGTCCTGTGACAATAGACTCTAAAACAAGGACTCCAAAATCAAACGGTGTGACCGATACGGGCAGGGCAGGGTCCTAGGTTAACGATCTCAGTCTGTTCACACCTCCGCTGGTAGTAAACACAGTGCCCATCAGGATATGCAGTGTGTAGGCCAGAGTACTCTAATCTCCTGTTCACACTTCTAAAAACACATTTGTTCGTGGGCACTGATCCGAGGTAGCGACGTGAGAGGTGGAAAGAGAGATATGTGAGAGGTGCACAGTGTACTGCCAGCGTGTGTGCCAACAGCTGTGGGTTGTCTGCACTGCAATCAACCGACTAATGAATTCATCAGCGAAAAATGACTGCAGAAGTTGGATCAGTAACCACGGTTAATTGGTGCAAGGTGAGCACACCGCTGGCAGTTGGCTGGTGATATCAGTGTTTTAAAATGTTCCTTCTGTTGTTATGATTTACATCTGACTAGCGCTAATTCCTAAGGGGTTTAGGCTTACAAACTTCATTTTAAAACTTACTAATTTCTTAATTTGCCATATATCGGGTGACCCTCTGGTCCCTTACAAGCAAACCCAGGCAAAACATGCACAATTGATATCTACACACAAAAAATCCCCTGGACCTAATTAGGAATCAGTAACGGTATAGGAGATTACCTCCCACTTGTGGTTGAGTCCTCGTGCTGGAAGACCAAGACACACGATACAAGACACGGGAATCACTTCAGCTATCTGTGGGGACACGGAGGGAGAGAGGGTTCTACTCTACAATGAATTAACCCCATGATACATAACACATGTGCGACTCATGAAAAATATCATTATGAGTCACACTTTGCGTCCTGTCGATAATTCTATCAACTGGTGCTCTACTTGCATCTGTCTATTTAGAGACGGCGCTGACACACACAGACAATTGTGCAAACCACAGAACTATTGAGGCATGCTATAGGTAAGCAGCACATGAAAGTAGACTGGAGGTCAAACATATTCATTTCATGTGCCGCTCTGAAAAGGTCGGCCTCGGTACTTAGGTGTACACAAACACGGAGTGTTCAGTTCCTGCGAAGGTTGCTTAAACAAACAGAGCAATTATGCTGAAATGGAGCCTGTGGATGGCTGGACCTAATTTGTGTACATGAATCAGCAAAGATTTATTCCGTGGCGTCACCTCCCCGGACACCCATATGAAAATAAACACTCGAGTGGTGCACACGTACGTATGCAGGCAGATGGCTACTCCAGACAGACGGCGTGTGTACATGCACAAACTAAGTTTGTCGAGGCATAAACCGTGAAACAAAGGGGAGGTTGGCACGCGGCCTCGGCCAACCACTCAGGTTGTTAGGCCCGAAGGACGGTGTTTAGGCTCACCGGGACAAAAAATGCAGTTATGAGGAAAAGGAACACGGCAAGAACCGATCAAACACTCGGCACTAATCAGATGATCACGAGAAGCCTAAGCAGAGAACAGTAACATTACCGGCGAGACAAAACTAGTCTGTGTGTACACTTATTCCCATGCAGTGACAATACCAATTGACAGAGAGGGTCAATGTGCTGTGTATATTACACTGACTGACCTTGGCGGCAATTCGCCCGGCCACAGTCCAGGCGAGGAGGACCAGAGGTCTAGTGGGAAACTGGTGGTGCAGCTGTGCGCGGAGAAAACAATCGCATTATCTCAATTACACTTAATTGTTGCCAATTTAGCCCGAGAGTAACTGATCTATCGGAACCATGTGCATAACCATCATGTACCTACCTACGTAAATCCCAGGACTATAATGATTACGGGAGCGAACCCACTTGGGTGGGCGTCTGACCTACACGGATGATTGGTCATAACGAGCACTGACGTAAGGGATCCCTCCAGGCAAATGAATAATTTCAGGTAGAAAGAGAAGTAAGGCGGCAACGAAGACAAGCACACATACATCTTGCAGTACTTTTGGTGGGAAGGAGTTTACTATAGAAGTAAGTGCTGCTGGAAGCTACTGAAATGTTGTATATATACCGACAATAGCTCACACCTCATCACTGAACTAAGATATGTAGCCACTTGCCTCCTACGTGCTACCTCACGCAGTGTGCAGTAAACAAACAGCTGACGAAAGCGGAGAGAGAGATTTGACGGCTCGTGCAGCTATTCCGTTAATTCGCAATAGCCCCCCAAGTCGGGAAGGGACGAGAAGTGATAATGGTAGAGGCCTTGTAAGGCACCGGCACAAGTAACCCAGTTAGCATCTCGCACCAATCATTCCAATCATCAGGGAATGTAAAATGCTCTGTTGCCAAGGGCTCCACATGGCTTCCTACCGACGGCTCTCCCGTGAGGTTGCCGAGGAGAATGCATGCCTCAAATATCTCTCACAGCACTAATGGAATTAGAGCGGAATGGGACACGATATGTAAAGTTTCCTTAGAGAATAGTCCATAAATCAGTGCAAGGCTTAGTATTGTATTGCAGATTTGAGCCCTGCCTCCTGCGCTGCCCTGGTCTGTCTAAAAGGCTGAATGTGATGGGTTTCAAGGGCAGCTATCTTTAAACAGCTTGTCTCAAGTTGTCCTGGGTATCACTAATTTGCTTTTCACCCCTCTCCCTTGCACACACTAGAAATGAGGTACGTACAAAGTGGTATATACACTGAGAAGCATTCCCAATCAGGAACATAACCAGACTAGCCAGCAGACACTAATGTTACTATTGCCCATTCAATACACCTCCTGCCAGCCAAATACGCCATGGTAACCACTGCACGAGTTAACAGAGTTAAAAATGAATTGATGCTTAGCAATGCAAACGAGCCCAAGAGGTCAACTGACAGTAGTTTGATGAATGGCTGGGTGCAGACCACCCGACTAAAAAGTCATTTCCCTATTCCAGCCCACTGAATGTAGAGTGGGGTGCATGCTGCCACGTCCAGGACAGAGACGCTACAAAACCAGCTCTGCCAATTTCACTACGTCACTCACTGAGAACTAAACACGCATTCTCATTTCCCAACTGAGCCATACAGAAAGACACATTTCCACAATATATAAACCAGGTCCCCCTCATAATTGATTAATTTTAAATGGTGGTTACACAATAGTATATAATCACTGTGAGTATGATGTGGCTGAGCTTGCAGTCGTTACCTAACAGACTACATCTCTGGCCAGATCTGATGTAACACTGCAGCCTACTGGCATTTATCACCCAACCAACACAGCCTGTGGCTTGAAAATCATTTTTCTCCCACCCACACACACACACCAGTTGCACAGAAGTTGTGTAACCAGGTATGTATGGCACTCTCTTTGGTTACTCCTGGGGAATTTTCACATTTCACCATCGATAGAAACTATCCACCGATCTTTAAAACAAAGAAGCTGCCAATAAGTGAATGATTTTTGGATGTGGATACTAAACCCAACAAATATGATAGCTTCCACGCCATCACTAGAACACAGGAGGGAACTGCAACACTACCGGAACTCCAATCAACAAAGCTGAAGTATGCATTTTTGATCCATGGCAACCAAGGGCTCTCAATCTCTCCCTTTCTTTAACTATTTATAAATGGCCGCATTCCGTCTCCACACACCAGCATTCCGACTCCACGGGACCTCACGTAACACCCACACGCGCGCGACAGAGAGAAGAACAATTAAAAATACACCGCGAACCAGATGCCAACGAGTCTGTGTAATGAGATTATGTCGATGACGAGAGGCTTCCTTTGAGATTCCTACTCTGTGGTTACTAGGAGGACAGGCCAGCGTGACTCTGCCTGTCTGTGAGTGTGTGCATCATGAGTGATCCGTAATCCAATTAATTGAGATGTAACAAAGTGTCGGTTGTGCCCTGGAATGTCGTCAGAGTGGCATGTTGTCATTGAATGGTTGCCCACCGACACACGCACTGGCCAAGGTCACGTACAGACGAGCATTATAATTATTGGCAAACTGCATGACGTATGAGAAACTCCTCTCTCTACTGATCTACCGGTACATATGAAAAGCGACGTCAACTCCCGTATTGTATGCAGTGCCCTGTACTATATAGCTCAGGACAAGTAGATGGGAGTATACATATGCGATTGCGTGACACTTCAACTCTCAACAACTCCAATCTGATCCATAATTTATTACGTTTACTCCAGAGCACGTACTTCACCAGCTGGCCACTCCGCATCTTTTTTACTACATTACTACAACAGCAGTTAGCTCACCTTGCAGTGTGTTTGATCTTCGGGAGAACGTGATGGGATAACCGGATTAAAGAGACCACTGGACCCATCAGAGACGTGGGGAGACAATATTATCAGTCACCCATCCTATCTCCCCACACCACAGTCACACCACTACACCACAACCCTCCCATTCTCTTACACGAGGAGTGCCTAGACCTCAGGTCCAACAACGGTCTGAAAAAGAAATTTCTTATCCTCCTTTTTCGTTCAGCCTTCGTGCAAAAAAACAGACAGCATTAATCTCTAACTGAATTAATGAACGGCCAGCACATCACTAGTGCAGACTCTGTAGCATATAAGATATGGACCCTGGTACTCTGGCTTTGTATGTGCCGCTAAGGGACTATTCAGTGTGCATACGTGCGAGTATGTGACAGTTTGGCACTCAAGGATTTAATCCAATCTCCATCTTATCGCATTTACTCCACTTCACCAGCTGGCTGCTCCTTGCCGCACTCCGTTTGATCTCACGGGGAGAACGTGACGAGATAATCGTATCAATGAGAGTCAAAGAGACCACAGGAACCATCCGAGACGTGGGGAGAGCATTCCACGAGCTCAGTCGTTAATCCGGTCTCTCCGTAACGCGGTCACACAATACCGCCACAACACTCTCTTCTCTTACAAGGAGTGCCTGTATATCCCTCGTGCCCAACAGCTCTCCGAAAAACAAACATTCATCACCTCCTCCTGCCTATTTCTTCTCCTCCTTTGTTCCCTGGTTCAGTTTTGGAAAACATTGCATACCAGTTCACGGCAGGTCATTAAATTTTTCGGGGGAGTATGTGAAGAGATAATTAACTCATTGGGGCTCAAGTATGTTCTAATTAGTACTGCACATAATACACTTAGCTAACATTTAATCCAGTAGACTTAAGTAGCTCAGTCGCTGAGCACTTTGCGTTTCGTAATAAGAGATCCCCCCCTCCCCCCCCGTTAAGACACTAGCCATCTGCAACATTTACTGGCTTTTGCCCTGCATATTGCATTACATAATCACTGCATATTTGTGATGCATTGACTCGTTGCCTCATATAATACTTATGCATCACTCTGTTCCAAAGAGTTAAAGATCCGTGGGAAGAGCATTCGGCCGTGCATCATGTATGCACACAACACGGCCACACAGTGCCACTACAGCACTCTCTTCTCTTACACAAGCAGAGCCTATCCCTCAGCTAAAACAGCTGTCTGAAAAATAAATCATTCTCACTCTCAACTCCTTCCTAATTACTTGAGTGAAGATGTGGATCATGACACTCTATTCATTCTTACAACAAGTTTAACACTCTTCACTTGCATATCCCTTGTTTTTGTTCTTCATCATTTCTTCCTTTCACAATCCCATCCCATAGCTACTCAGCTATATCCATACGTACGTTAATACATACATACATACATACACTTACCTCCTTCACTCTGGAGAGGGAGAGGGTAAGAATGGCCTCACTGAACTCCACCAGCGACCGAGAGCTCCCGGGCTCACTGAGGGCCTCGGGGACTATGACGGGGTACACCTTCCCGATGGAGCTGAGCTGTGACTGCCAGAGGCGCCAGCGACGCCCGCCCAGCCCCACAGAGGAGTAGGGCAGAGTCACAAACACCGGCGGATTCTCAAAATGGACCTGAAACCACAATCACAATGCAAAACAGGAAAGATAAGTGTCCCTGAACAACTATGCATCTTGCCAATGGGAGATGCAGTAGTAAATCATTCACACTCCCCGTCCTATATACCTATTTCTCCAAAATATCATCAGTAGAGAAATACATTACCTCTTTCAACAAACCACCTCTACTAGAAATACATTACTAGTAAATGCGACCAATGAGGGCGACTGGTTGATGAAAATGCATACCAGGATGGAGTTCAAACAAACCATATGTCTGGAGGACTGACCACCAATGACGGTACATTAAAAGCATTCCAATGGGAAAGAAGCTCTATCCTGGCCATGTGTGCATGCAACACACCCGAGGAGATCATTCTAGTAGATGCGACCAATGAGGGCGACTGGTTGGGTTGATGAAAATGCATACCAGGATGGAGTTCAAACAAACCATATTATGTCTGGAACACTGACCACCAATGATGGCACATTCCAATGGTAGCTAGGTTTCTTGCATATCACTTCTGTTTCGTCTGCCGAAAGCCGAAAATCTTGGGAAAGAAGCTCTATCCTGGCCATGTGTGCATGCAACGCACGCGAACAGATCGTTCTAACAGGTTTACTATCAAAACTGCACATAACAATCAGGTTTGGTTGTCTGGGTCGAAACAAGTGTTGCTAGCTGTGGGTGATCAAAAATTGCAGCGGCCCACAGTGATGAGGGAGTGTTTGAGACGGACCTGTATGTCTACTGGACTCATTCCAACGACCGGGTTCCAGGGCCGCTTGAGGAGGAGACTGAAGGCCTCTCCACCTACCAGGTTGAGACTGGAGTGGACTACTTGCTCCACCAGCACAGGGCACTAGGGAGATGGAAAGGACGAGAGAGGGAGGGGAAAGAAAGAGGGTCTGAGTAAACCACCCCACCAGACATGAGCAGCATGCTGTACTTTAGATTTGAGTATCTGGAGGACATCGAGGTAGACAGGGAGGAGGTCACTGTCCAGCAACTGAATCAGTGTCTCGTGGGCCCAAGTCACCAGCTTTGGGTCCTGCACAATATACGGGCTTACTGTAAGAGAGCGCAAGACTCATCACTGGGTGTGACTGACCCAGTTCACGTCACTGAGAGCCTTCCGGAACTGTCTGACTGCTCTGTCGTTGTGCAGTCTCCTCTTAATCGGCTCATGGGCTGCCTGCAAGGAGAGGCTCATATAGCCTATGGTATCTTGCCAGATTCAGAGAGTATAAGGGTAAATAGAGAGGAAAAGTCTTGAAAAGTGTTAGTTGGGTGCGAAGAAGCCAGGAAATGGATAAGAGAGAAAGAGTCTTGTAAAAGTATCAGTGAGCAGTTGAAACAGTGTTAGTGAGGGGTATTATATAGTGATCTGTTAAACAATATTAGTGAGGGGGGAGGAGGTGACCTGCTGGCAAGTGAGCCTGGCGAGGTGGTCCCCCTGCAGTATGCGCAGGAGAGTGGAGAGGAGCCGACGTTGTTGGAACCCACACTCCAGCAGAACCTTCTCCAGGAGGAGGTCGCTGTTCTCTGGCGGGATCTTAACCAGGTTGAGGTGCTTCACACACTCCATCATGATGAGCCCCACCTTCGACTCGTCGTAGGGGAGGCTGGTGGGAGGTGCAACACTCACCACGTCCACCTCCGCTCCCTCCTCCTCCTCTTCATCCTCGTTTCTCACTCCATGATGACCATGTTCACCAGTAGCATCTTCTCTAGCCGATTCCCCCGCGTCTTCATCCGCCAGAGCAGGGAAGAGGACCTCGGTAGGAAAGAATCCGGCGGATGCTGTGCTTCGAAAAGGGCCAAGTTTAGAATAGCAGTGCTCCTGGGAAATCTGGTAGGCTGGACCGGCGATTGGAGCCGGTTTTGATCCCTCTGACAGCGGCATGGCTGCTGGTGCAGACGTCGCAGAAGAAGCAGCTGCTGGGTCTTTCTCGACTGATTCCATTTCGAGCCCACCAACAACCGCGAGCGCGGGGTGAAAGGTCAAGTAAAGAATTTCAAAAACGATATACCGCAAATCAATGACCTTTCGTTTAATTGGAGGCATTTAGTGTCCCTTGGGAGCTCGCGCGAGCTGAGCTGGGCACGGGCCTGCAAGAGCCAAGTCAGTGGGCTGTAAGTCGCTAAAGAGACCGTGACAACATGGATGCAGACGGAACATCCATGCAAGGTGAACAGACTTGTATCAAACCCTACTGGCATTTGTCCGGCTTCCCTGCCTCCCTCCATGTACGAACCACTCAGCGTGGAGACCTCCCACGAATATCAGTTTTCAGTTTTAGTATCAGCTAACTACGCCACTCCACCCACGACACGATCTCTTGTTGCATCTTATGCTTACTCGATCAGTAATGTTTTTTCTAATAGCTACTGTGCTGCCCTAGGCCCTGCCCAAGTGCCAGGGTTTCGTGTACGCATCTCTCTAATTGCAACAGCCTCTTTGTTGGCTAGCTAGAGCTAACCTGGGAGAGTGTAGGTAGACAGCTGTTGGGGTACAGTGGAGTGACGGTGCATATGAATGCACTGAACAAGTGTGTGCATGGGTCATGTGCTCTTAGTACAGCATCCATCCCCAGTAACATAAGTGGCTTTTGTGGGAGAGCCAAAGCAGAGAAAAAGAGAGAGAACGTTCCTCCCAAGGCTCTCGAGCTGCCTACTTAACAGCAATCTCTCCTTTCTCGTGTGTGTGTGACAGATTCCTGGATCGACGTGCCAGAAGGGAAGGAGGAGAAGTCCAGAGGGGACCAGGATGAGGGCACCGAGGTAGGCAGTCTCACCCACAGTCGCAGTCAGCAGGAGATGGAGCAGCTCCTGGCCAGTGCAGCCTCAGACGATGAGGCAGAGGACAGCCCCGTGTGAGTCCCGTATATACAACCTTATCAGGGAGCGGGAGGGACTATGTGATAAATTTTTCCTCTGTATGTTATAGCTCTGTCCCATCATTCACCATACCAGAGCAGCACATTGAGCAACATGGTTCACAGCAAGTAACCAACCTTCACCATGTGACTCCACTCTATGTCCTCTACATTTTGTGTGTAGGTATCTGCTAGTGCTAGATCTGCAGTAGGAGAGACTCCGAGACACGCCTCATCTGCTGCTGCATCAGAGTAAGACTGAACCCCCACCCACTCTCCTTTATATACCAGTGATTGACATACTTCACCCCCTCCCCTACACAACACTCCACATTACACTCACACAGTGGACTACATTCAAGCTCTAGACTAAGAGGACTGTCCTGGCTCCTCGAAGGGTTAGCCACGAGACTCAATAAACAACAATGCGTCTATCCACCCCTATCTATGTATATAGGGGTGTGGCAAACTTGTTGGTCCCGGTTCTGGTACTCACACATCTGGCACTGTTTGGCTTGGGGTAAGCCAGCGACTCGTACACCAAGTTACCCCCACACTATTTGCCCCATCTTTCACCATGTGTGTGTGTGTGTGTGTGTGACAGTTTCTACATCGGACGACGGACCAACCTGGTGAAGACGATGTAAGCAGCCAGCTCCATGGCGAGTTGTGCTTCTCTCACTTGATCCGGTAATCTCACTAGAGCTGATTCATTTGCACTAGACAATGTACTAATTGCACATGCTCAATCATGGGTGCCTACTTTACCTCAAGGGGCACTTGAAGTTTACAACAATTTTTTTTCAGTTTTGTAAGTCAACAATAATTATTTCCCGCAATAAATATTATTGAGAAGGCAATCTGACACTATAGACCTTTATTAAAGTAGACAACTTTAGTGGACGGTGATGAGTGTTGAATCTTGTCTCTGAGGGGTTTCTCCAGATTGGCCACCTGTATGGAGCTGAAACATGGCAATACATACTAAGCCTAGGACACAAGATAGCAATTTCCCTGTGTTACTTAAACCCTTTTGCAGAATGCAGAGTTTGAAGCAAGAAAAACGGGTATATGGCTAAGACATACGACATCATTTATGTTATATTATTACCTTGTCTGGGGGAAGAGGGCACATCCGACAGGAACCATGACTATGAGACTGCAACAAAGAATCAACAAGTAGATAGGGACACTCTGTGATATATAGTACTTTAGTCATACCTAATTCCACACAGTAAGGTTTGGATCCCTGTAGAGAACACTAATCCTCTCTGGGGCCATAAGAGAAAACTGTGGATGAACTTGGAAGTACAGCTACTGTACTATTACAATATAGCCTTTGAAAAAGCGACCATTAATAATTTTAAACCTACCCTGAAGAACTTGTAGCGTTCCAGTCGCTCCATAATGACAGGTGATAACACTGGACAAGAGACACTCGCACCTTACAGTTGCAGCATTGCTTTGGCTAAAGACACTCACACATTCCTGGAACAGCCATGGTGATTCTGGATAGACACACCTGAGTTATTCCTTTTGCTGCAGCTTTCTGTCCGGAAATAAAGCAACAACCGTAGTATAATGCCTATCCTCTATGAGAAAGAGAGAAGAGAAGCAGACAAGACAGAAGAGAGAAGAGAAGATAAGAGAATTAAGGGGTGTCTCGGACTTTGGATTCTCCCAGCTGATGTCCATCTTTGTCCAGGACTATCACACCATTTGATATCTCCCCCTGTCTCATCATGGGTATGTTGATGCAGTTGGCAGTTGCCACAGCCAGGAAAGGAACAAACCTACCCACCAGAGGTGGAGCCCCCTGTCAACATATAGAGAGAGTGTTGAGAATGCTAATTCCACACCAAGGAATCCCATTGCTGTGAGATTATAACACTGAAGCCAGATAATTCAACCTTTACCTTGACTAGTTTATTAGCAATGACAGATACTCCAACAGCCCCAGTCATTGCACCAACATACGATATACCAATCTGCCTGTGCAATCACAGAGAGATCAAACATTCTCCGCCAATTACTTTGTAATTTACTGATTAGTGGTCTGGGACTTGGCATTTCTGTTGGTGTAGTTGACAAATGCATTGAAGGTCTGGTTGATGAACTGAGCAAACATAACCTGTGGAGTTGTCCTGCAGTGTGGAATATATGCCACATAGTCAAGGAACTGGTAAATAATGAAGCATATGTATCAGTGAGTTATAGAGAAAGCATACTTGTAAAGAGCTAGCAGTATGCCTGTGATGACCATCCCAAAGGGGACCTGAGCACTCATCCTGCCCATTGGGTGCATGATTCCATCACTGTCGGGGTGAACTGCAGAGTGGTAGAGGGTCTGGGCATGGTAGAGCTGGGTCTGAGTAGTTCCACGTGGAACATGGCCTTCCCTGTACGTACAGAGGACGAGAGTTAAGGTCCTCTCTGACCACCTCTCCAGCTCCCCCCACTTTGCCAGGTGGTATAGGTGCTGGGCTGCCCCCACGTCTCGTCGAGACTTTAGCAGCAGACGAGGGTCCGTGATTCGAGAGAAGTGGTTGAGTCGTCCGAGAAAGGTCGCCTGGTCCCATCGTAGCTGGCTGATGTCATTCACCGGACTGGGGACCAAGTCTGGTGGCTGCTTGGAGCTCAGGCTCATCACAGCATGCAACACACACACGCGCGCACCCTCGCCGCGTGCGTGTGATTTGGGGGCGGGGCTAGCAACCACGCATGCGCGGCGGGTGTGTGTGTGGTTTTGCGCATAATTATATAGTGCAGACTTATTGGTGTGATGACTTCTGAATGGTGTGAAACATGGCAAATGCCTTGTCGAAGAAGACAAGTTACGTTGAAGGTGGTGCACTGTTCCCTGTGAGCCTCTCCACTTCCAAAAACAATGATAAGGTGTAGTAGTGGCTGGTAAATCTCCCAATAACAAGGGAATTTCCCAATAATCATCAGGGCATTTCCCCTTTTCAACTCGTTCATTTGCATAATGATAACCCTGCCACATGACACCACAGTACAACATTGGACAGTAAGGAACCATGATCACAACACCATTGGCAGAATCGAGACAAAAATATGTAATTTCATCGTTATTCGTGCACAATTCCAGATATATATAAAGGTCTGGATCCAGGCTGAGAAAACAGTCCCATACCTCTGGAAAGCCATGAAATCTCATTATACAGAGGTTTAGGATTTACCCCAAAGAATGTACGTTCCAGCCTCTCCATTAGGAATCACAACTGCACAAATATGATATAATACACAGTATCAATACTGTAGAGTTGCAAATGGTTTTGGCTCAAACACTCAGACATAAACATGCTGAAAGTGAAAGGTCAGAGGTGAAATCGAATGCGTGCTTCCTTCTAACTTGTTGTTTGTCTGTGACTAGACCTTTCTCTCTGTGCGTATTATATACAAAGGCGCTGGACGCCTGATTGAACTGGGCAGGCAGAACCAGTACAAGTTCCTGGAATGCTCAGGAGGAAGTAGCTGAAAGGGAATTTGGGGACTGCAGGGGGGCTGGTGACTGAGTATCCCGAACCTCAATACTGCTTCCCATCCCAGGATTCAGTTTCCTTCATCTGCATGCTCTTATGAGGTTTTAATGTGTATGACACCTGTGATGATCTAACCCCTAGCAATCCACCCGGGGAGGGGAATGTCCAGCTCTACCGCCTTCTCTTTCTCTCTGGACTGAAAATTCCCCACCGCACACTACAACATTTCCCTCCTGGGAAAAACACCGCGGTGGACTCCCACAAAACTGAAAATCATAACTGAAATGCTTGGTGAGTGTATGTATGCACACACATGGCTATAGAAACAAGAGCACATGGGAGGATAAGCAGGGCAAGCCCCCCACTCTGACTGCCTTAATGCACTTTTAGAGAACCAACTCCCACCAACACTTGATGGCTTGTATGGACCTGTAAAGTTCCTGGTGTGTGTGTGTGTCTGTGCTGTGAGCCTACTTGTACTACGATAGTATCTTGGGTGCTAAGGCACCCACTGGGTGCATGATTTCATCAGTGTCGTGTGAACTGCAGGGTGGCAGAGGGGTAGAGAGTAGCTCCACATGGAACATGGCCTTCCATGTAGAGCAGGAGAGTTAGGGTCCTCTCCTCTCGAGCTCCCCACTTTAGGTAGTAGAGGTTGTCGTTCATCTTGCCACCGTATATACCCCACATGTCATTTCCGCATACCCTTGCAGGGGGGCGGGGTCGAATGCGATATAAAAGCCGCTCGTTCTGTCATCGCGGGACTGAAATTGTAGCTAAACCGTGTCTGAGATATGAACCACACGAAATCATGGGGGCCGATAACTCTCGCCTGTTCAGCCCCTCTGAGGAGGAAGATTTCCCCGTCCACGGCTACCGGAGGATGCGCAGCGAGCGGAGGGAGGCGACGAGCACCACAATCGACATAGGCTTCGCAATCAGAGCTCGATCCTGCAAGGCTGGCGTGGTGGGGACCGGCCTCGTTTCATCTGGAGGGGAGCCCAGCATGCTGCAGCGAATGGTGAGTGTCGCGTACACGTCTGGGCGTTCTTGCGTGCTGACAACCGTAGGCCTATGGTTTTATACGCGTTTCGCGGCTGTAGAAATAGGACGATCATCTGGATGCACTGCTTCTTTCATATTTGGCTCTAAGTGTTCGGCCCAATCCAATTCAGGGGTCCGGTGCATGATAGAATGCTAGAGGGGATTCCCCATGTACACTCACGTACAATTTGAAACATCCAAGTGTACATGGTATATACAAATTTTGTTAGATGAAAGTCTGAGCACGAATGTGTGCATGGAGTTCAGGCAGGAATGCCGTCAGACCGACGCACACTTTCCATTCACACACGCACAACATTGTGCGATTGGCATATACGGATCACTGTTGTGGCCTGTACCGTGTTTACTTTCACTCTCCCTGTGTACATTTATTCTTTGCTCCACTGTAAACTGTGCCTTAGCCACACACACAAAGTGCTGAGGGTGTAGTACGTATAGCAAACACAAACTTTCACCCTGTCCAGGAGAGCGTGAGTAGCGACGAGGGTGACAGAGAGAGCGTGGTCCTGACTGGAGAGAACATATCCATGGAGGAGTTCCACAACGCCATCGTACACACTGCAAACATCCAGGTCCTCCTGAGCACCCTCCAGGAGCGCTTCGACCTACACCACCAGTTCCTGTTCCAAATTCTCAACCGCGCCATCGTCTCTGAGCGGATGGACGTATTTGTGCGTGCGCTGGAGATGGACGGTCTCCTTCCTCTCGACTCGCCGCTGCGACTCACCGACCAACAGGTCATGCATCTGCTCCAGAAGGCGGTGACCGTGCAGGCGGAGGACACGGAGGCAGTCGAAGTCCTCCTCGCTCACATCAGGGATCCCGAGATTGGCCGCATGAAGATGGAGCTACAGAGTCTTGCCATTCTCGCTGCACAGTTCGGGAGCTTTGTTGCCGTGAGACAGCTCTGTGCCAAGTACGCCATGTGCCTCGAGCAGAATTTCCAAGGGAAGAGCGTTCTCCTCGAGCTGGTTCGATTCTCGGACGACTCGGCAAATTTCTACCTGTCGGAGTTGCTCAGGATGGGGGTGTACGTCAATACACAGGATCCTGATGGGAACACTGCTCTCCACGTGGCTGCAGAGAGGGGATTGAAGGACGTGGCAAAGCTGCTCCTGTCGCACGGAGCATGCATCAACCTCCCCAACGCCCGAGGGAAGAAGGCCATCGACCTGTGGGGGAAATGGGACGATCCCGAAATCTCCAAACTACTGCGCGGAACCCCTGAGCCCCACGAAGCGTCTCTGTACCACGCCGCCGAGCAGCGAGATCTCCAGTCGGTGCAACGTCTCCTCTCCCTCGGGGTACTGGTCGATTCCAAGTGGATTCACGGGCGCACTGCCCTCTGTGCGGCTGCCAGGACAGGCAACAGGGAGGTTGTCAACTGCCTGCTGTCTGCCGGTGCTAAACCCATCCCACTCGGGTGCTACTGGCCCGAGCTACCCATAGCTCATGCACTTGCTTCACCGCACAGCTATGAAATAGCAGCCAGGCTCATGGAAGAGACGGAGAGGTCCCTTGTGAGGGCAACCAAAGTTGAGAGAGAGCACGTCTGCACTCAGCTGGTTTCCCTGCTCCACTACTGTGCCCGGTGTGGCTACACCAGCGTCGCCGAGACGGTTCTCAATTCCACTTGCAATATCAACCCCAACGACGAGTTTATTGAGGGGCTCGCCCCCATTCACGTCGCCTGCAAGTACAACCAACTCTCGATGGTGAGACTGTTACTGGCCCACGGCGGTTCGCCAAACCTTCCCTCCAGAGTGTATGGCAATACTCCTCTCCACTATGCCTGCTTTTACGGCCACCTCGACATAGCCCAGTTCCTTCTTGACGAGGGCTCGGTGAGCATCGACTCCATTAACTACCAGCACGAAACCCCGCTCTACTGCGTCCTCAAACTGCACCTCACTCCCCACACGATAAACGACTATGTCAGAGAGAGCAGTGTCGTGTTCCTTATCACACGAGGAGCAAAACTGACAAAGCCGGGAAGACACTCGTGCGAGCTACCAGAGTTTGACCTGGGTACGGGGGCACAGCGCTGGGAGTTTGTACCGGTGCAAACACAGAAACTGATGATAGTTCTCAGAAACGAGAAGAGGTGGATGTCCATGGCATCAGAGTGTCGCTGGGTCATCCGCTCCTCGCTCCAGACGGCCGTCAGTGAAGATGTTGTCGAGCAGCTGGGCCTCCCATTTCGGTTACAGAATTACGTGCTTTTTAGGGATTGGTTTCCTTGAGTGTGTGGTTCTTGTGTGTCTCTTCTTTCTGTGTACTCAGTTTTTCTGTGCCCGTCCATTGAGCATGCGCAGAAACAGGGGTTGTGTGCGCGCGCGCGTCCGTCCCTTCCGTACTTTGAACTTTACATTTGCTCCGCCTTCGTTGTCGCCTGTCATGTTTCATCGTTTATTTCTTCCCTATGTGTTCCTCAGAGATACCGTGAGTAATATCTACTACAACGACGTTTATAAGCTAGTAGCATAACGGCTAAGAGATAGAATCTACGGCCTTCATAACCGTGCTAAGTCCTGTGTAACCCTCTAATCCATGATAGGGAAGGAGGTACGCAGCCAACCTGCTCCGGCCTAAGAGAACGAAGTACCGCAAAATGCACAAGAACATTAGAGCAGTCCTGCCTGCGAAACCAGACACAGTCCCCACACCCACCCTCCACTTTGGCACCTACGGTATCTATGCCATGGAGTCGATACGTCTCAATGCCGAACAGATAGAAGCAGCTCGAATGGCCATCCTAAAGAAAGTCGGCAGGAAAGACCTCGAGATGTGGGTGCGAGTTTTCCCCCACATACCGGTCACCAAGAAACCTCTTGAGGTGCGGATGGGGAAGGGGAAAGGAAGCGTTGATCATTTCGTAGCCTACGTGAAGGCAGGGAAACTTCTGTACGAGTTCAACTGCCCCAGCGGAAGTCTAGCCAAAGCTGCCTACAAGCAGGCAGCCTATAAACTACCTATCAGAGTCCGCTTCACAGAGAAACCCGCCCCAGTAGCAGAGCAAGCTGCATTATGAAATCTCTATTATGTCACAACTTTGATTTTTGAAAATCCCTGTACAGCTGGGATGTGTGGGCTAGCTCTGACATGTGCACGTATTTGTCATCTATCTTGGAGATGGCTGAACAGTAGGAGGGATAGTGTTGCAGCTCCCCCAGTGCAATGCTGGACACTCCAGTGCATATGGCAGCAGTGAGTCCCCAGACAACCCGAGGGTGTCCCCCAGAATCAGTTGACGGGGGAAGATAAAACGAGCTTATGGATGACGGTAGCCCACGCCAAGCTCCCCGCATTTGCCTGTGGTAGTCCCCCACGATGAAGTGTCTGAGTGGGATCCACGTGGTGTGTTCCACCTCTCGCCTGTTCTCTCTGATCTCCAGACCTTCAATGTCCCCACAGAGGAGACCTGGTACGACACCCACAGCTGTGGTGTGGTGCCAGCCAGAGAGGAAGGGAGGGAGGGAGCAGAGGACCTCCACACTGTCTCTGCTGACTCCAACCTCTTCCCTCGCCTCTCGAAGAGCAGTGTCAACTAGTGTTGTGTCTGTAGTGGAGTCGTGCATCCCACCTGGTAGACAGTATTCACCTGCACAAATAAGGGAATAGGTAGTAAGTTTAGAGCTATCATTCTATCAACCTGGATGAGAGGTGACTTCCATGGATCTTTTAGTGATGAGGACCTGTAGCTGGGTGGACCTGGCCTTGCAGCCCATCAGGAAGAGAACGGCAGCCTCTTTGTAGCGTGGCTGACCTGCAGGCGGAAGGCCAGCTCCACCTTCAAAATCAACTCTTGACGACATGCTCAGAGGATACTTGGCGTTGTTTTCCCACGGGAAGAACCAGCCCTCTGCTTCTGCTCTTCGAAACATATCTCTAACATCACGGTAAGAAGAATTCTCTTGCCGGCTCATTCTCTTTCTCGATCCCTCCGACCATTGGCTTCTGCAAAAGAAGCTTAGCCACGCCCCCGTGTAATGATTTGTGCGCATGCGCATAAACGGTGCGAAAAAGTAGGCATGGCTCGATCATGCAGGATTGAGAGATGATTATACAGGGCAACCTCTAACCTCTCCATTTGACCAGTCTATGAACCTCTCATCCTGCTTTCTATTGACTAGCTAGCCACTGTCCCTATATGGGGAAACGAGCCGGGAAATTAATTACTCACGGTATCGTAGTAGGGCTCAGATTTCACCGCGGTTGTTTCCGGCTTCCTAGGTCTTCATACCGGTACAGGACCGTCGCGCGGAAGAACCCTGTTGCTGCGGTGTAAGATCCAGTAGTGACTGACCGAACCAGAGCTCGAGCAAACCGAGAACTCACGAAGAAGAAGAAGAAGAAGAAAATGGCCTGTAAGTTACGTGGCTCAGTCTGTAAAATGTGCGGTACTAATTCTTGTGTGTCTATGTTCGCACAGCCAGCAGAAACGGAGCTGAGTACCACACATACAACGAGGAGACCACTCAAGTCGGCACCCTTTCCCGGAGTACTTGGCTAGCACAGGTAGCAATAGAATAGGTCTAGGTTTAGCTACATATCCATACATAAACAGAAAGGCCCCTTGAGTCAGTTTACTTTATTGGAGAAGATGGCACCCTTTTTCAGGCATTGCCTAAAACTGCGGGATGTTGCAATCAACTGGGCGTCTACCTAGCGTTGTGGTGCATACTTGTCTAGAAAACATTAGCACTGTGGTGTATCTAGAAAGTGAAACACTGTGGACGTTTAGCTACATATCCATACATAAACAGAAAGGCCCCTTGAGTCAGTTTACTTATTTTCCACAATTGCAACCTCCCTCATTGATATAACAGGCTGCCGATCTGCCCAAAGACAAAGAGCACACACCGCCCTCTAGCTTCAACCTAATCCTGGCCCTGATTGCGTTTCTGACCTGCCCCTTCCTTGGATGGCTCTCCATCATATTTGCCATTCAGGTGAGTCCACCAACACCGAATCAACCCCAGCAGTTGCTCAGTGTCTGTCATTCTTCATTCTCACTCACCATCACTTCCTGTGCACAGGCTCGGACAGAGTTCTATCACAAACGCTACAATGAGTCTGCTGCTCTGTGTACGCGTGCCCGGGGCACCTCTTGCTACGCCATAGCCATTGGAGTCAGTTTGGCTCTCGGCTATGGCATTCTGGTCGGCGCTGGTCTCAGCTTGAACTGGTATGACTGAGATACCATCAGCTGGAATCCTTTCCCCGACACTTCATGTGTAACTCTTAACAATTACTGTTGTGTGTGCAACGAGGTTCCGACACTCTCACTCTAGGCTATGTTTGTGAATCAACAGTGTGCATACGAAGTCACAATTTGAATGTGTCTGTGTGTGCTGTGTGTGAGTGCATGTCTGCAACTATGGTAATGGACGCTACCATTTAAAGCAATGCAGTGAAAACAGAGGCTGGCTAATCTGCTGTAACGAAGGGGGTTGGGTCATGTGTGGGTGCAGCATACCATTCCAAGTGCTCGTTAATATCCAGCACATTCTCTCAGCATAAGACAGCATATATACAGTTCACAAGACAGCTAATCAAATAAGCGTGTATACACAGCAACGTTATACACAGCAGCGTATTGCACCATGCAATTGCCTGTAAAAGACAAAAGGAAGATACAGTTATGATGATTGCAGTTATATACACCTTTATAAATAATTTGGCACACTGTGAGTGATGGTGAAAAAACTACGACATATATATGTACATTATAAACTGGCACATTAAGAATAATGCTACTGGATCTTGGTAAAGGTGAGCTCCAATAGGAGCTGGCCCTGTTCCCTATCCTTGTGTTTCCTGTGCCTGATGGTGTACCAGTCTCGCAGGACCAGTCCGCTCTCCCGCAACAACGGCTCCAGACACACCTCCGCCTTACCCATGTGGTCGTCTTTGGTCAGTTCGTCTTTGTCAAACACCTCCACGGTCAGCTGGTCCACTCCATTCCACGAAAAATCAAAGCTCTCGTTGTACGTCGGGTTGAGCGTCTTGTACTTGATCTTGCTCTTCCGGCTCTGGAGCCCGATGGTCAGGACACAGTAGGGATCGCTCGACGTCAGGTCCTTAACGATGAGGTTCTTCCCCTCCACGAGCTGGATGGTGACTATCCCGATGTACTCTACCATGGCCGACATTGAGCGAGGGGATTTCCCGTTGTCAGCATTGTTGGAGCCCTGTCTCACGATCCTCTCGGGGGCACGGGGGGAGCGGCCTGGCACCCCCTTGAACAGCTGCTGTACGTACTTGGCCCGGATGAAGTACTCCCTCGTGTCCCTGTCTGTCTTGGAGAGATAGGGTACCTCGATGGCCTTGGGGACACAGTACTCGAGAAGTTGGTTGACTCGGAGGTTCCCGTTGGCCTCCATGTGGTCCACCTGTTTCTCTGTCCACGTGTCCAGCGTGCAGCTCAACACGAATGAGTCCTGTACACCAAGTGATCTGTGTGTGTTGTGTTTTCGTGTGTGAGAGACTGCCATTAGAAGACATTTCCTCCCAAAAAGTTTGAGTGTCCACAGTTTACACAAATCCCCACTGTCAATACTGCATTGTGCATTTTCTATTTTCCGGGAATTTGGCAATATATATACACTTCGAGAGAATTTGCATTCACCTACTGGACACAGGGACAAGAAGAGGCACACAAACAGGAATTTCACCGGTTGAGCTAGTTTGGGCTCCCCAGTGTCAACACAGTGCAACTGAATGCAATTGTGAGATCGCACGAGAAGGAGATGGGCAGTCACGCCCAGCGGAGCTTCTCTAGCAGCCAGCGAAGTGAATACGCGCCAAGAGTAACACTCGGTTTATCGGGAGTCGAGCATCTGGCACCCTCAGCAAGTGGGGTCATAACACAGGCCAAATCACCCGCTAAATTGTTGCATATTCAGTCCTTGGAATGCCTCCAAAAGCAGGCGCAATTATCGGGCACAACACCAGTGCTCTGGGAATATTAAGTCCTGTCTACATCGACCACATGTATTAGCAACACACAGGAATGATAGGACTGCATGTTCTGTAGTCAAGACCAAACCTCGACACAAGTATAACACGCGAAACAACTCTAGAGTGAAATGAATACCCAAAGCGACTGATAGATAAACCTGTAATAATGGTGTGCCTGCATAATAACAGAGCTGTTGGCCGAGCTAGATTGTCCGGTACATTATCAACAGGAAGCTCTTTGGTATTGAGCGATACCGCTTCCTCGTTACGTTTACACCATTCATAAACAATTTATGCACACAACGGTTCCTGAATGGAAGGTTTGTAACCGCAAGGTGGTGGAATTCTATTTGTTTCAGTTCAGTGGACCGACACCTGTGCATCCAGAGAGGACGACCTGCGGCCCTCTTCATGGCCCCACGGAAGAAGTTTGATTATACCGGCGCTTAGGTCTACGCTAGAAATCGAAGGCTCGCTCACCTGTGGACGCCGGCACACTGCGTGCAGATGAAGGTTCCGTGGTTGGTGCTGGCCCAAGTGGGCCCGGTCTCCCTGCAGTCTGCACACACCGAGTTCCCGTCTTCCTTTAGCAGCTGGGCCAGCCTCTCTCGCTGAACCGAAGCCGAGAGCGCCATCGGATCCTCTGCTTTTGCTACAATTCTCCGGGGGACTGCGTTCGCCGACCGCTTCTCCGATATTAGTGGGTGTGTCGACCCACGCTTTCACGCGCATGCGTATAATTTATATTGCCCCGGCCGAGTCGAGTACCGGTACCGTCGACCACGCGCCAGCAGCGGCCAAGAGAGGCAGGGAGAGGTATCATGAGCGGCCAAAGCACAGCAAAGACCACGAAAACAGAGCAGCAAAGTATCTTCGAAGAAGACGACGAATTCGAGGAGTTTCCCACTGAAGGTAGAGGTGATGTGCATTTCTAATTAGTGCACACCACAAATCAACTCACGTGCGCACAGAGTGGGAGGTGGCTGGTGAAGAACAGGGAGAGAAGCAGCTGTGGGAGGAAAACTGGGACGATGATGATGTGGAGGATGACTTCTCTCGCCAGCTGAGGTAAATTCTCTCGAATGGCTACATTCCCCAAAAGCACTACACTCTTTTTTCTAGAGCCGAACTAGAACGTGTAGGACAGTTGAACACTCAAGCTGAACCAATGAAATCATAAATACAAACACTCCTATTCCATGCATAGTATATACCCCCTTTCACACGTACCTATCTGGTGGTAGGTAAAAGTTTTATTCCCGATGATATAGAACAAAACAGTATGATCATATTGCTGGGAGGAGGGGTAGGGAGGAGAGTCAGTATTTATAGCAGTGAGGGTGTCAGTCAATGAGAGAGACACCAGAGATGAAACCCATGAACAGTACAAAGAGAATGGCTATTGAGTAGAACCTCCAGACTGGCCACACAGCAACTGCAAGACTGAGTGATAGAAAGAGTTTTTGTGTAGCAAAAGTGAGCGACAATTTTTAACAGTGTCACCAGATGCCTCCAATGATGCCAGTTACAGTGGCTGTGATGATGAGACCTGGGGCGTTCTCTCTCCAGTTGTCCGCCTGTAGGCCTGGTAGAAAGACTATGGCATATGCCACACATCCCATTGAGACTAATAGAATTGCAGCACTCAGCATCAGCCATGTCCTAGAGAACAGGGAAAACTAATTAGCAAGACATGACATTGGAGGAAGCCCCTTACATACCCATTGACCAGTTCATTGAAGACAAGAGTAGACGCAAAGTTGGTGAAATAGAAGACGGCAAAGGCGGCAAAGAGCCAGAGCAACGAGTCCCACTCGTTCTTCATGCGATGTGAGAGGCTCTTACGGCGGCGGAGTGGCTCTGCTGGCGGTGTGGCACGGTCTTCAGTGTCTGCAAGCATGTGAACGTAACCCGCGCGATCAGTTCAACGGCTAGGTTGCTGCTGATGGTCTCACCAGGCTCCGTCTTTCGCTGTTTTAGTTCGCTCTTCGGCTCCATCTCACTATTTAGTAGTGCCAATGTGAAGATAGAGAGGTGAAGGGGCAGTGCCCCCGAAGCCAACTGCGCGCGTTTTTTTGAAATAAGTGTGCGCGTGGTTGGAGAGAGCTAGCTGAAGCTGGTGAGGGCTGTGTAAAGGTTTCAGACATGACGTTGATGACGGACGATATAGAGTGGTATCCCTTGCCTGAAGTGGACGACATTCATGACGGTACTCCAGCTGAACCCTCTAGAGTAGCATGTTCAGTGTCTCTCTCTCCTCGGCATAGATGCAAGATCAACCCAGGGAACCATTTCAACCACAGCAAGTCATTCTTCCACTGCCCCCTCCCTGAGCTATCTCACTCCAGCCTCTTCTATTGGCAGTTTCAGGTCTCGCAGTCGGCCTGAGAACAACAACCCACACATTACTGGCACAATTCAGCCTTACCTCAGAAGAGCCCTGAAAACTGGGAGCCAGCTGGGAAGTCACACACACAAAGGGGTAGAATCGTCTAGATCACAGAAGTCAATTCCTTCTGCCTCTTCGTTTTCCACCGCATGGAGCATTCAGAGGGGGGAGAGTTCAGTAGCACAGGCAACTCTGTCTCTGTCTAGGAAAACCTCCTCCTCTGTCAGTTTCAAGACAGCTAGATCGGCTTCTGCCCCAGCTCTGAAATCAAGTCAGTCGACAGTAAACACCCACTCAGAGGGACCCAGGCTCACGTCTGTGGTGGTGACAGCTAGCAACTCACCCAGTGATCACCGAGACAGAGATGAGAATTCTAACATCGATAGTGGATCCACACAATCCTCTGCTGCAGCCAGCAGTGATGAAAGACTACACAATATCATATCCCAACCACCCACAATTGCCCAGGGTCTATCCTCCTCCAAGGACCTCCCTCCCAGCACTGCAAAGCCTCTGGGCACTTCCATCACAAGCTCAGTACTCACTGCCAGCACACCGGCCACAAGCCCACTCAAACCTCTGCATCTGCCTCCTCACCAATCAACATCTGGATTTCTCACACCAGGTGGACTGAACCAAGGGACGCAGACTTCCGCTATCTCTCCAAGCACACTGAACAACCTGTGGACCCAGTTTCTGGCTGGCAGTGGATCAGCCGACCCTGCCAAGCAATCCAGGGCACTCAGAAGTGTAGCCTACTCTGAGACTGGGGTTCAGACAACACCCTCACTGGCAATTAACAAATTTCCCTCGTGCCACCTTCAATCAGTGAAACGAGCACCACCGCGACTGTCTCAGCTCACACTCCAAGAGTCTCTGCGGACTCTGAGGCCGGATTTTGTCTGTCGCAGTGAGCAGCGACAGAGAGAACTGCGGAGGAACCGAGACATCCGCAACCGTGCCCACTGCAGGGGAACAGCAGAGCTGCTCAACCACTGTCGCCCTGTCACTAGAGAGAGAGGGAAATCTGCACGCACACCACACTTTGTTCCCAGTGAGTGGCCATTTAGTGTGTTTTTGAGTCAACTGACACTCTTTCGAACACAGTTGACGTTACAAGAAACCGACCCAAGATGTCTCCTGTGGAAATGTACCGAAACAGCAAAAAGTATGAATTACCGTGGAAAACCGAAATGTGGTTGTTTTGCCAGTTGCACTGACTGACCCATGTATAATGTGTTTCAGATATTGGTGCAAGCTGCCTGAGGTGAAGCAAAAGGAACAGGAGCAGAGGAGGGAGTCTCAGGCAGCTACCAACAGACTACGTATGAAGCTCTACCAGCAGGTCAGTGATATGAGGCAGATTCACAAGTCCAATGTATGTGAAAGTTTCACTAATTCTTCACCATATTATATAGAAAGTTCTAGAAAGATTAAGAAAACAGAGGAAATGAAGAAAAAACAACAGACTAGAACTCTGATTGACTTTTTTGTAGTTAAACAGTGTCCAACATAAACCTGGAAATGATAGCGCTGAAATGATCACAGCACGATTTCAACGTCAACGTACCAGCTGGATCTAGTTCTGGCAGCTTCTTTCCGGACCAGTCTCTTCTTGTCGTCCAGACAGGACACCAGTGCCCTCAGTACCTGGCTCTGATAGGACACTACCTGCACACCCAACAGACATATCTATATATCTACTTTAAGTGGACTATTGATTTTGCTGACCAGATGTCTTGGTAGTTTAGACAACTTGTTCAAGCATAGCAGAGCTGAGCAGCGAACTTTCTACATTGACAGAGAACAAAGCAGTGTTTAAGGCAAACGTCTAGGAAGGTTTGCTAGTTATACCATAGAGTCAGGCTTGGTGGCCAGGGTCAGTAGTCGAGGTACGAGAGATGGTACAGAGTCACTCATGAGTGCAGCACTGGTGGGGTTCTGGAGGATCGTGTGGATGCCTTCCAGTGTCGACTGACTCAGACCTGCATCATCTGTGTTGAGGCTCTCCAGTAGTAGGGGGTGCAGCTGAAAGATTAGAACAAATTCATCTCTAGCAATAGAGAGGCAGGCATTATACCAGTTGAAGTTGCTCCAACATGACTTGTCTGGGGACACACTGTAAGATATGGGAAAGAGCTCTCAGGAAGTACTGCCTCTCGCCTGTAAAATATCAGTAAAAAACACAAATGATTGATTTTTGCTCTTACCTGGTGCTGCACTGTTGAACCGGCTCACTAGCTCAGGAACCACCTCCACACAGAACTGCTGTTTATGCATCAGCTGGAACCACACAGAGCATGGGAAAGTATCCCAGCTACAGAGCACACACAGCAACAAGACAGGGGAGGCGGGGGGGGGGGGTTTGGAGGGTTGTAAGGGTGTGTTTCTTTTGTTTGTTTCTAGGTGTGCTTTTTTATTGGTGTTGTTTTTTTTGGTTTATATTGTAGGTTGTTATTTTTGTTATGTGTTGTTGTTGCTTATTATCTGATTTTTGAGGCAAGTATATGTCTGTGATTTGTTAGTATATGTGGCTTTGTTTGTGTGGGGGGGGATTTTTTTGTCCACACATGTTTTGTGGTTGTCATTTCTGTTGGAGTTAAGGGACCTTACTATTGGATGGATGAGTGGATCGTTCTGGGGATTCAAGGTAATTCGCTGGGTCTTTTGAGTATCAATTGAAGGAAACTCCAGTCTGACTGACACGGAATCTGCACAGAGTAGAGCATCTCCAAAAAGGAGGGTACGAGCAAAATGAGTCCAGAATAGGGAGAGAAGCAGACAAATGCATCACAAATGGGGTCACAAGGCACGCATCGGCCATGAGAAGCGAGGACGAATTATGCGTTTCCAAGTTAATACAGAACGGCACAGTCCGAAGTAAGGTATAATGAAAGGAAAAACGATAACCGGGAGAATCATAGAAGCGCTCTATAATCGTACCAGGGAGTGGGAGGCTTACGACAGAGGAATGAGAACGGCACTTCGACAGAGAGCTTTTCCGCTGCAGCCTGAAAGTAACGACACACAGTTACTTTAGCAACGTGGTTAAGGAGGAGGCAACCCAAGAGGGTTTGGCGAGAACGCCACACCTGATGAACAGTGTACCCAGAGCCATGCAGTCAGGCTTCTTGTCCTTGCCTCAGGAGAACCCACTGAGCCACTGCTCATCAGTTCACGACCGGTGCAGACAAGCTGGACATTAGGACTGTCCCACACACACTCCTCTACTACCTCCTCTGGAACAAGCAAATCATTCTAGTGAAGCACGTTCTACCACAAGTTGCGACTCAGGCTCAGTTGTGATCCGGCTGGGAGAGACTGAGGTCGCATAGTCACAACGGCACAGAGTTTGGTACTGGACTGCTCATCAGGACAAAGCATGGCTTGCTCCAGTAGTCTTGGTAGATAGACTGAGACCTGACTGCTGACAGTCTGCTTCCACACATCAGCAGGTATATACGTATATAGAATATGGGGTGTTCTATTCAAAGGCATACAGCCCCACCTCCTTTTTCATGGCTCCAAGGGTGTACAGTAAGATACTAGTCAGTCTTGTCTGTACTGGCGGGCTTGAAGGCTGGCGAAGACACAATACTTGCTATGTAAGCAGTACATTGGTGTACATGAAAACCTTCAAAGGTAGAAAAGTTAAACCATGAGGTAGGAGGGACGAACTGCCATCTGTGAACACCTCACGGACAAGTCTAGCCCAAGATTCATTCACACTACATACCAAAGAAAGAAACCGACATGGTTAATGCACAACACACACTGAATTGGTGACACACTCGGTTGTGTTGTTAGCAGCCAGTGTGAAGGTCCTCAGAAGAGAGTGGCACTGCTGGAGCACCGCCTTCTCTGTGAACATACGTCCAGCTGAGCTCTCGGGGAGACTCGGGAGAACACAGAGAACCAAAATCCTCTCTGCAACCACCTTGTGCACAAA